ATATCGAGGATAAATGGCTACCGTGTACATTGATTTCCTTTCGGCTGGTCCGATTGGCAGTTATGTTATTACGAAGCTTTTGATTCGTATTCTGCTACAGTTTCTTCCTTCTTTCTGTTACACTGATTTGAAAGAGGCATGCAAACCAGTTGTTGCACCCTTGTGCGTATATTACGCTAGTGTATTATGGCATGTTCTACTGAAGTCGATAGTACGGTATACTTTGCAGTACAACTATACAGTACAAATATTGTCGTAACATTCTCAAGCATGTTCATTTCGACCGTGTCACTACTGTACGCTGACCTTCGATCTCCGTCTTGTTGGATGTAAGCAGTGTACAGACAGGGGCGGTGAGGATTCAAGTGCAGAATCATTAGGCGAAGCACCGTCATCACACGGCCAATGCACAGCAGAGTGCCAGCAACTCAGAGGTAGGCGTACAGTTGACCAACTCTCATATTTAGACGTACACATGTCATACGTATTAGTGGCCAATTGTTGCCACTGTAGCCGGCGGGTTGACACCTCTTCGGCTGCACACATCTTCTGTGCTAAGCAATGTCACTTAATACTGTGAAGGGGGTGGTATATCACTTCAAATGTGTATTCCAATCGCCCTCATCAGTGGCCAGGCGTGAGCTTCTACAGCGGAATTTTCAATCTGGCAATTTGGTGACGAATATTTCCTACTCGTTTCTCGGCTACACTGCACACCAACAGAAAGATTAAAGGTTGAGCAGCTTATAGCGGAAGACAGTGAAGATCTGATCGAGAGATTCCGGATGACAACAGATCTTATAATGAGGAAGCACCGAGAGCAGGTGTGCATGCAGCTCATAATATACAATTCTCAGTCTGTTCGGACAAGTGCGCTGCTTGCTGACCACGGAGTGCATATTCAATGATCTCACCAGTTAAACTACTCACCACGTGTACTAGTATATTTTAAGTGACTCCGCTATACGTCACATGTACATGAGGCGTGTAGCACTATACCCAAAAACAAAGAAACTCTTACTCGCCATTGCCATTCTTCGGTCTTTCCTACACATGAGGAGTACAACATATATTATGAGGGGAATTCATACCCTGATAATAGACTCACCAATGTGTATATTTCCAGAGCCGCCGCCTAGAGGACACATATAAGCAAGAGCTGTTCGAGCTGCGGGCAATGGTCGATCACGAGCGAGATATCAGTTCAGTTCTTCGCTTGCGCAACACAGAATTGCACGGGAAAATAGAAGACATGGTGGCAGCCATGTATACTGCGATGCACATCGACGAAACACGGGCCAGTGACGAAGACAGGTGTGTTGATGTTTGGATATGAACCCACATCCACAGCATTCGTTGGGCTGCTAGCTACCTTAATTGGTGGCTGGGTTTTATATATGCGTTTTTATTTCTCCATCAAAAGGATTCTGTGTATGCAGTAGCTGGCGTTGGTGGAACAGCTTGATGCCTAGAATGGTGTACTGGAACAGTTATAGACAAGTAGCGCCCTCGGTTCCAAGAGAAAATCTATTTCGGTTTCGACCGACATTCCTCGTGAGTTCTATTCTTAGACATTCATCGTGAGTTCTATTTTTAGACTTTCATCCCCAACATCCTTATCGTGAAACTGCTTTGATTCTTCAACTGACGAGCGGTGCATGTGAGAGTTGTGTGCCTGTAAAGATATACTGATCACAATCTAGTCGAGTGATTGCTCCTCTTGTGCACTCTAATCTACTGCAGGCTTATTCAGCAACTTCTCGCGGAGAATCAAACACTACGAGTTCTGGCGGGCGTAAGCGATAGTACAAGCATACATGCACCGAACTTCTCTCGCGACGGTCAATAAATACATGCAACTTGGTTTACAAGTATCCGACATGTCTATTTATTGAAATTGTTAATGCATGCAACCGCAGCGGTATGTTTTGTACTCAACCAGCTTGCAGTGAACAGCATGACAGTATATGAACTTATGATTAACCAACAGAGTGTTGATATGTTGTGGTGTTGATTCTAATCACAGACGAGATTCGATTTGTCCTTGCCTCTTCTAAAAAGTACGGGTCATATGCAAACCGCTTCCTGCGATGAATATGCGCTAAGGTAGCTGGGAATTCATCGCCCAATTACAAAACATCTGTAATATGATTACGGTTACTTGATTACAAGAACAAGACACAGTGTTGAGCCTCAAACCATATATCACATAAGCACTTGATGGATTTCACCAGCAATGTTACTGATAAATAATGATGGGGGTGTAATTTCAGTACATATCCATATATATATATATATAGCATTTGATGGGCTTCACCAGCTATAGGACGGGGTGTAATTTCAGTAAATATCCATATATTTAGATCATTTGATGACTGACGGATTCAAACAAGCTCTAGAGTGAACGTGTCAATAAGTACACTCGGTTCTATCTCACGCGTTTTACCTGTGACGATTGTGTACGACTAACTCTCAGACATTTACCTTTATGAGCAATTGCCAGCGAAACTATTACACGCACCTACATAAGGGACGCATTTCATGTTGCCATATACGACTGTTTGATGTTTGCAATCTCAGTCAGTCGATTTTATTATTTTATTGGACCTGCTGGTCCGTGTATACAACAACACTGTGGTGATCAGTATGTATACGGAATATTAACAAAAATCAACGTCATGAAAGTCAATTTGATTTAAAATTTTTTTTTTTGTGTACAGTATGTGATTGATAAAACTTAATCTCGATCCTCGAAAAATTCTAAAATGGCCTCTGAATCGGTCTTGAGTCCATCCATGTTCCACTCGACCTTTCTCTTAGATAGGTAGCACGTTTCTTTGTCCTCAACCAGGTCCCAGCTCTGGCACCAGGCATGCTCGTAGCATTTTTGTGCACAATACTCCCATTGCTTGGCGAGCGTTTTTCAACTCAAATGCCCCAAGTTAACAGTTTTGTCATTCTGTCCATGTACATCGTACCCTGTCTTTTGATCATACTGCAGACGGTCATCTCCGGTACCAACTGACCGACTTCCACTCCCCGGAACCCATGCCTTATCATTCAGTAGATGGTGCTCATATAGAAGGATATAACTCAAGGACGGCATTCCTTTCTGACTTTAGTTCTCTGTCATCATCTCCCGAAACTTCCTTGTACGAGAGGTAGCGTTTCATCTTATCTCCGAACAAGTCAAAGCTCGTGCACCCTTCGTGGTGGCACATGCCTTCAGCTACCTCTCAAAGCGACCCAGTGTTGTTTACTGGTCATAATCCTTTACATTAACTATAACGTCGTTGTGCCCATTCACCACATGCTTGTATTTAGTCCTGTACACGGTTCGACCAATACCTTTGACCTCGATGCTCCCGTCATCAGGAGTTGACCAAATGTCGATGCCAGCGCTTCTAGCACTGACAAGGCTGGTTGCAAGGCAGATAATTGTTAGGCCACCACGAAGGGTGCATAACCTTCTATATATATATATT